CTCTCTCTCTCTCTCTCTCTCTCTCTCTCTCCTGGCTTGCCCGCCCGCCCGTTCTGCACACCCCGCTGGTACGCCCCCCGCTTGCCTACCATCGGACTTTTTTCCGCTGGCGCTCCCTTCCCCGCCTCCCCCCAGCGCGTTTATGTCAATTTACGCCACATGCAACACCGTACGCCCTGGCAGGCCCTGCCCTATTTGCCCTTGACGCCACACGCGACACCGTACGCCCTGGAAGGCCCTGCCCTTTTTGCCCCTGCTCTGTTTCGCGAGACGCCACCCTTTTTCCCCCCAGGGCACCGTACGCCCTGGCAGGACCTGCCCTTTTTGCCCCTGCACTGTTTCGTGTCGGCACGCGCCGTGCCTGGCTGGGCCCGCCCGTGGGCAGTTTTCCTTGGGCCCGCCACTGCGTGTGACGCCACTTTTGGTGTTGGCCCATGCCTGGCTGGCCCCGCCCGTTCCGCAGTTTTCCTTGGGCCCACAGCTGCGTGTGACGGACGGACCGCTGTATCTTTTAGTTGTGTAGAGAAAAAAAGGACAAGGAAGGGGGTAGAAGGAGAAAGAGGGGGAGGGTGGAAGGGGACGAGAGAGTGTCACACAGTCAATATCGATCTCAAACTTGTATATCATTGCTGACCTGCGTCTTTCCTACCGTCTTCACCCAAATACAACGCCAGTCATTATAACTGTATCTGGACTGAAAATTGCACCAAATACGCCTATAATGACCTTGCATCCTATCCAGGTGAAAACAGCAGGCTGTGCTAGTTACACAGACAGTGACGCTGCGTGAGCAGAACACACGTAGACAAACCAGATGCCAGCTCTTCTGTTCCAAGGAGCTGTTTTGCTTGGATTTCACTCCGTTTGTGTTCAGGATTCGAAGGCTTCCAAATGAGTTGGAATTGACATTGTCGGAGCCTCTGGCGAGATATATATTGTCTTATTTCAGCGTGTTCTGTCAACTGTGTCGTGTTTATTTACGGTGAAGTTGTGAACAGTGCGAAGGGAATTGCTGATTGACATGTCTGAACTTAGTCTACTGTTTGCCAAATGTCTCTCTGATTATTGTGAAATGTCTAAGCGGGCTTTAACATTTAACGGTCTGGATGAATGCAGGTGGTGTTCCCATCAGCCTCCTTCAATGTCAGCCTTGGTGCCAGAGTTGCTCTGTCGCGAGGACACACATCTATTCGGCTCATAATCAGAAATGTGCTGGATGTCGTGATGGAGATAGCACGTGCCTCATTTTGGAAAGCTGGTCCAGGAGCGAACTTTGTGAGCATTTCATTTACCTGCTGCTGTCTACTGCTTTTTTTTTTTTTTTTTTAACCATTTCTCGATATATGTGTGTCATCCTTGCGCCGGGGCCGTACTAATCTTCTCTGTATTGTTCCAATTTTAACGGATGTCTCTAAGGACGTTTACTGCATTTTTTGAATTTGTTATGTCAGGCTGTCAGCCTTTTTTTCCCTTTTTTTTCCTATTAGGATTCTCTGCCTCCGATGCAGAAATTCAGTGGTATTGGAAGGTCGCGCGAGCGCCGCCCGGTAAGCGCTCCCGCCAGCGCCATTTTTGAAGCAGTCGCGCGTTTCAAACAGGCGCGAACTTTCGCGCATCCCCGTGGGAGCCTTTGCTGAAGGAGGAGACGAAGGCGTTCAGCCTCCAGCCGCGCCTTCGGGCGCGGCCATGCTACTTCGGGATTGGAAAGGAGGTAGTAGGTGGGTACAGCCATAGCTGGCACACAAGGGCATCCGACTCCAGACGTCATTCAGTGTCCTCCCCACCAGGGATCATCGTCCAACAAGCCACACCATCGTCGAGTCTTCAAAGTGTCTTCTTCCAAGAACGGGAGAGCTAGTGAAGTGGCGAAAGCACACGTGCGCCCCGAGGGATTTCGACTCTCGAGTCAGACTGAGCTATAACCCTTCTCATCCCCATCTCGAACCCCGAAGTCGTCAATTGCTCGATCCTCTACAAGACACTTCTTTTTTTTGATTCCTCGTACTACGAACGAACGGCACGCTTTTCGTGACGTGTAATCCCCCATCCCCCCCATCCATTACGCTCCTCCCCCATCGCAACTATAGAGCTCTTCCCGCCCCTTCCAAGTCGATTCTTATTCGCCCCGCCCGCCCTTTTGGAACCCTTGTCGCCCCCCTCGCACCGCCCCAATTCCAAATTAGCCCCACTCAATCTCCCAAGAGCTCTACACACACTATCCCCCCCCCTCTACCCCCCCCCTCCGTCCCGCCCGCCCTTTTGGAATCCTTGTTCCCCCCTCGCACCGCCCCAATTCCAAATTAGCCCCACTCAATCTCCCAAGAGCTCTACACACACTATCCCCCCCACACGACCCCCCCCCTCCCCCCCCCCCCCCCCCCTTTCCATCTTTTCCCCCCCCCCCCCCCCCCCCCCCCCCCCCCCCCCCCCCCCCCCCCCCCCCCCCCCCCCCCCCCCCCCCCCCCCCCCCCCCCCCCCCCCCCCCCCCCCCCCCCCCCCCTCTTCTCTTTCCGAAAGTTTCCCTTCTGATCGATCGATTCCTTTCCGATTGATTACTCCCCTTCCGATTGATTCCCTTCTGACCGATTCCTTTCCGATCGATCCCCTTTCGATCGATTCCCTTTCAATCGCGTCCCCTCTGATCGATTCCTTTCCGATCGATCCCCTTCCGATCGAGTCCCCTCTTTTCCATCACCATTCCATTTACGCTCTCCATAGCCCGTTCTTCGAGTGGTGAGGATATAGGTAGCTGAATTCACGCAAGGCTCAAGCCACTTATGATTCCTCGCTCAAGCGGTCTACCATTTTGCCCAGAATTTAAGGGTCCCCCAGGGATTTTAGTGTGGTCGCAAGAACTCGATGTTTAATGCGTCGTGCTCTTCGTTAAGATTTCCGTTTTCTCATTCTCCCCATTGCGATAGTCTCCTTTGGTGTGATAACCCGTTTCCCAGGTGGGGAGGGTAAATGCTGCCAAATTATCAGCCCCAACGAGGTACCTGCAAGGTGTAACCATCCGACTTACCCTCTCCCACCATTGCTCCAATTTCCTCCGGCGTCGATGCCCAAAAGGGGAGGGCTGATACTGCCAAATCTGCATCCCTCCTCTCTTTGACTTTAGACAAATCTTGTTCTGTCCTGCCTCAACTCTGTGCCGCATCTCGTATAGGTCTCCTTCGGTGGCCGACCTATCAATCCGCCTCATTCTCGCCAGTGATCTCACCTCTCCCCACAACACCACACCTCTTCCAACTCCCGCATCTTCAACCTCTGCTCGGGCACCATTTCGGATTTCATCTTCCCTCCGTACACTCAACTCATTCCCCCTCCCCCCCGTCCCTAGCCCCGTCTATCTCCAGTTTCCAACTGTCTAAGGGTGGACGGATCTGACAGTGGTTAAAGAGAAGGTTAGGACTGGCCGTGTTAGCCGAAGAGAATGGCCTCTCGGCCCCCAAGCATGGGCGCGACAAGCCAAAGCAGCCAAAGCACTGGGGAAAAAGACACCTGCGTGATTGACAACGAAGCACTGAAATTCCTGATAGACAACAAAAGTTCAAGGAATACAAACTACTGAGATACAAAAGGTGGACGGTAAAGAAGAGGAGATCATTATCTGGAAGTACCCAGAAGAAAAAGTGGCAGAATTGGATGACCTGCATGAAAGACACGGTGTGGTTTTTAACTTCGCATGCAATGGAGCAGAGCTCCAACCACCTGAGAAAAGAAAGTGGGTCATAGAAACGATCAAGAAAGAACTGAAACTCAATCAGGAGAAACCTTTACACTACAGAGTTTGGGACGAAACAACATCATGGCATTGTTCATACAGGAGGAACACGCAAAAGCAGCGTCGGACTTGCAGTCCAGGAACTGTAATGGTTCGGTATGCATGATCACCAAGTGGAAGAAGGTTACCACACAGAGACAGAACTCGGTCTTTACAGTCTCTTACAAACAAACATTGCTGAAGGAAAACTTTTGGGTGCAGTTCGATAACATTCAACCGGGGTTCCATGGCCTGTTGGTAGACAGGTTAGAAAGACAATATCCAGCGAATAGGATCCTCAAGTGGATCCTGCCGACACCAGAGTTTTTGGCCCCGCACTGTGGATCTATGACGGCAATCTTGGAAGTCAAGACAGACACCCCCCCGGTATTTCCACAGACCTGGAAGTTGCAGATCGAGAGCAGAGTGGTAGAATCAAAGTTTCAACCAAGACTTCCCCGATCTGCTTTCGATGTAGGGAACGGGGTCACATGGGAACAAATCCTAACTGCCCAAGATATCCGAAACAGCCGAAAGAGCGCAAACTCCTGCCTAATATGTTGGTGGAAGTGGAGGATGCACCGGAAATCTGATTTGTTGCGGACAACAACTACAACGGTTGGGTCTTTGACGATAACCTGGAAGAACCAGAGTGGATCTGGCACTATGCCGATCAAGAACCCACAATCAAAAAGCCCAACATCTTCCCTCCGGCTGACAGTAGGTGGCAGAAAAAAGCAACAGGGAAGTTGACAGACAACCCAACAAAGATCAAAACAGATCCTCTGATTGATTCGCGGGTGATTAGAGAAGAAAAAGACAGAGTGGACTTACTATGGGACCTGGACGCGGTTAGGGAACAGACTGTCTCGCACTTTATCAAGGAACCGTCCAGTCTTAGGAGTATGCTAAGGAATATGGAACAGGCAACGATCCGCATGAAAGTTGGGACACCAGCAGACAATAAACGGACGTTGGACACGGAAGATCAACAAGAGATCCAGGAGGGGGGTCTCAAAAGGAGGAAGGCAACAGATGCAGAAGGGAGAGAAGGAGCGGTTAGTACTCCCACAGAAATGACTGAAGAGGGGAGGGAAACAGACTCGAGAGGAACGGGGTCGGATAAGACGTCGGGGGAAAATAATGTCGATGAGGGAAGTGGGGTGACGGACAGCGGAGAGGAGTCCCAGCGGTCGCTCCAGTGGCTCAGGGAGTATGTGGAGAAGGTCAAAAGGGAAAGACAACATGTTTTTGACATTCGGGCGGCTTGCTTGAAACATGCAGAAAGAGCACAGAGAAGTGGAAAGAAAGGGTGGGTGGCAGATTTGGGGAGCTCCAACAATCCATTCGATGCCCTCGGGAAGGCTAAGGCGAAAGAACTATCAGAATACACAACCTTCAGGTATGCTGAAAAGAAGAGAGCAAGGAAACAGGGGTGGAAAGACAAAGGCAGAACCGTTCTGGATTCCAAAGACGAGTTTCAAGATCTGTGTCCTAAGAAATGGAAGTCTGGGAAAAAACAAAAAAAGAAGGACCCAAACATTTTACAGACGGAGTCTGAGGAAGACTCGGCTCACACGCTGTTGGAAAAGGAAGTGGTCGTAGTGTTAGCCCAAACGGACAAACTGAAAAAATTAAACGAGGAGTACGCACCAAAATTCACGATGATCACGCACATAGCTAGGGATAAAGCACCACTGGTGGTGGAAACAGCTCGGTTGTCGCGATTAACGCTGTTGAACATCCGCCCACTAATTGCAGCAAGATACATGGAGAGAATCGGTGAGTGCCAGGTAGCAACAAACGTATCATTCCAGATCCCCTGTTTTGAGGAGGGGCAAAATGTGGCAGATATCCTCCGGGAGAAGGTAACAACAAACTTTCCGTCGGGAGTGTATGACTCGGTACCCTATGAATCAAATCAGGAGGTCACTCGACCCCAAACAGACCAAGAGGGCCAAGCAACCCAGCCTTCAGAACAGAGGAGACACTCTCCTCAAGCCTTTTCGCCCCTGATCGTTAAATTGTCAAAGACCGCCAAGTTAAGAAGAGGGATGAGATGGAGACCCTGGCGGACGATAACAACAGTGCCATACAGTGTCTTGGCGGGTTCAAGTCTGTCAGCGGAACTGACAGCAGTTTTGGTGGCCCAATTAATTACTTCAGGGATACTGGAAGGCGATGGGGACCTGGACGCGAGGGCTTACCCTGTGGACTGGGAAAGGTTTTATAGAAGCGATGATTCGGAAGACGGGCCGCTAGAATGGCATTCGGATGACGAGAAGGAGGATGAAGGTCAAGGAATGGGGTTGGACAAAACCATCAACAACGGTGAGGGGCCGCACATGGTAGTGGGACACGGTACGATTGGTTCTACAAAGGAGGGACAGGTTACGGAGGGGTCCGAGGTGGGGGACGACCCAATGGGCCTGGACACGGGAGGTAGTTCGTTGCCATAGGTAGTCCCCTAGTTGAAACCATAATCACGACCCGGCTGACAGAATAAAGAAGA